AAAAAAAAAAAAAAGAAAAAGTAGAGGGCCCTCTGAGGGCAGAAGAGATCATTTATTGCCCCTGTTCAGAGCAGGCTAGAGACTGTCACCAAGAACAGCCCTTCCTCTTTTACACTAAGATAGCTTAACAGAGTTCTAGGTTTCTTCAGAAGGAAGTCATCTCTCCCTAAGGCACATACTTTACTGTATATCCATTAGCAGACAGCTATCAAGTCCACTAGCAGCTAGAGAGATACTGAGGAAGGTAAAGCACACCTTGTGTACCCAGCAGGCATAGTATTCATTTTAGTAGTGAGAATCTTCTTTTAGTACTTACAAAACTACATAGTGTTTTCTTAACTCTAGTAACTCATCTTGCCAGTGTTTACCCTCATCTTCCTCAGTCCATACATTTTTCTTACACCTGGATTTTTCTAACTTCATACTCAGAACTTCTGAAACTTAGGTCCTAATAGCCTGGGGAAGCCATATCATTGTATTGACATTTAGCTGATGAAATGTATAGCCTTCAAATTCCTTCATTTTGAAGCATCAGCCTTTGTGAAATAAATTTTTGCCACCAGGGGACAACTGGCAATATCTGAAGGCATTTTTGTTACACATATGTGGGGGAAGATGTGACAGGGTTGCTGCTAAGCATCCTGCAATGTACAGGACAGCCCCCCCACACACAATAAAGACTTATTTGGCCTAATATGTCAATAGCATTGAGATTGAGAATCCCTGGTCCTAGATAATGTTTACTTAGCTCCATAAGAACAGAGACACATATATTAGCATTCCATCCTCTCAACAGCTAGTCCTGTGCCTGCCACATAGTGGTTGCTTAATAAATGGCTGTTGAATAAATTAATGAACAAAGAACATTTCAGCAAGAAATCAAATTTGTGGGGAAAAGTATTCTTCGAACCTGAGATTAGTAGTGATTTAAGCTAAATAAGCACTAGGAGAAATCTCTATGTGACTATTCTTAAACTGTGTTGTTACCTTCAAGTGTGTTTTTGAGGGTTTAGGAGGGAAAATCTTTTAAGAGGCTAGGCAGAGATTATGGCTTACTAAAGTAGATAGAGAATCATTTTTGTTGTTTTTAACATTTTTTGGAAATGACTTGTATGTAAACTTGGTGCTTCACAGGAAGGGAACTGAGGGACCCACAGGCCTACATATCACATAAGAGTTCTGCCCCCAAAAAGGCAACCTTGGGATTTTATGAAATTAGGGTGATGCCAGTAACACTCTTCCACCATGAGTTCAGGAAGCCAAGGTGATCATGTGCAGCAGAAAAAGCAAAACAGTTTAGAGGGACTTGAGCAGATGATATGCAAGTTAATCCTGGGGAACACTGAGGGATAAGAAAGAATAAGAACATAGACAATGCCTTCTGTTTAAGAAATAGCAGGTAAAACTATGAATAAGTCTGAAGTGCCACGTAGATGAGTTAAAACAAGGGTTAGATTAATAAAGCTAGTGAGAAGAAGCATAGATCACCAATCTATAGATGTGTATTTCTTAATTTTTTTTCTTCATTTTATTTCTTAGCTTATGCATTTATTTTGCCCTTTGGGATAACCTATGTTATTATCTTAATAGTTCTTGGGTGGTTTAAATGGTCAATGTGCTTGGATGCTAACCAAAAAGATAGTAGTTTGACACTACCCACAGACACCTCAGAAGAAAGGCCTGGCAGTCTACTTCTGAAAAATTAGCCATTGAAAACTCTATGGAGCACAATTTTACTTTGACCCATGTGGGGTTGCCATAAGTCAGAATCCACTTGATGGCAATTATTTTTATTATTATCTTAATAAGAGTACATTTGATAATAATAATAATAATAAAAGCATGATTAGATGGGTGCATGCTGTTGCTCCTTCTATTAGTTTCTGCTCAGCCATGGACAGTTATGTGGGGCTGGTCTGCATACTGTAGGGCTAGAGACTGTACCACTTCTAGAATTGCCACCATGGTGCTTAGGTGGAAATGAGTGCCAGAGGGTTTCCAAAGGGCTGGCTTTGCATTCCTAACGTTATTGAGTGATAGTAAGCATCACAAATGCCAACTGAGAAAATGATATTAAGAAAATAATTTAAAAATAAGATTTCATTAATGGGTCATGTGAACAGTTTGAATGCAGTGCATGTTAAGTAATGTATCCTTAAGCTTGGCATCAGATTGCACCATAGGTACATGCTTGAGGCTGCGTCTTTCCATGCACGGCTATGAATTTGACAGCAACCTGACAAGAAAAATGCAGTTTGCAACACCAAGGCTGTGGCTCCAGCAAGGCTCTTCAGAGGACTGTCCCTTCTCTGAGTCTGAGGACTGCTCTCATTGTGTCCTCTCCTTTCTTTCTGCTGCCCTCGCAGGAGGAAGACTTCATCAGACCCAGCAGCCGAGAAGAGGCCCAGCAGCTATGGGAGGCTGAGAGGGTCAAGATGCGTCAGATGATGGAAAAGCAGCAGAAGCAGATGGTGGAAGATTACCAGTGGCTGAGGCAGGAGGAGAAATCCTTGGTGAGCAGCTGCTGACCTGTAGGTGGGGATGGACCCCTCTCTGCAGCTGTGGTGAACCTATTTTGATAAAAAAAATGTTTGCTTGGAAGGGATTTCCATGTTTTCATGTCAATTTGTGTTTTCTTTCACCTTCCAAACTGACTAGAGTGAATGTACTCAGTGCGTTCTTTTGTTTTTCACTCTATTGTGGTAAAAATATGCAAACCAACACTTTTGCCAATACAACAGCTCCCACACTTACAATTTAGTGGCATTGATTCCATTTTTCTTGTTGTGCCACCATTCTCCCTATCCTTTTCCAAAATATTCCACTACCATTAACATAAACTCAATGCCCCGCAAACAAAAACTCCCCTTGCCACTCTTCAATCCCTCAGTAACCATTAATAATCTTTGGCTTCTATATATTTGCTTATTTATTTTATATTACTGAGATCATAAGGTATTTGTCTTTTTGTTGACTGACTTATTTCACTCAATATAATTTTTTCAGTGTTCATCCATGTTGTGGCACACATCAAGACTCCTTTTTTCTTTATAGCTGCATAAAATTCTCTCTGCATTCTTAGCTTTTTTAGCTCTAGAGTTCTAAGTCCTTTGCTTTTGCTTCTCTTTTGCAGGACCCCATGGTTTACATGAATGACAAGTCCCCATTGGTAAGTCACCAGGAGAGGTCTCTTCCTTGGAGGTCAGGCTTCAGTTTGTTTAAATGATGGAACTCCCCAGCTCTAGCTCCTTTATTATCTTTTCAAATTTTATAATGCAAGCATGTCTTTTCCCTTTACTCTGATCTCCAAGTGGCTTGTTTCCTGAGTCTCATGTGGTCTATACCCTTAGTGCTGCTATGCTGTGCCGAGGGCCCTTCAGCCTCTCAGAATCACTCTCCTAGGTCACTTTTGGTCAGGAGCTTCCCAGAGCTCCCCTCTGAGGCTGTGATGTCTAAATACACAATTGAGAGGGCAGGGGTAATTAAAGAGGGGAAGTCATGTGTCCTCAGAGCAGCATTAACAACATGTTATTTCTTTCCTTCCTTTCAGACCCCAGAGAAGGAGGCTGGCTACAGTAAGTGTTCACGCCCTTCCTTTTGATAGGAGTTTCCACTTAGCATCTTGTGTTGAGCCACTCACTCTCCTTGTTCATTGTCTGTTGCAGAAAGTAGCAAAGTGTGTTTGTAATTTTAAGAAACGTCTGGCTTATTTTAATTCAGCATGTGATGAGGGCCCATTGTTGAGTTGTTATCCACCCCTCTGCTCCATCTGTTTGCACTGTTCTCTTCCTGCCTAGCAGCTTTCCTCATCTCTTTCTGTTGCCTGAGTTCTCAGTCCTCTTCCTAGTTTATCTCTTACTTGTATATATTTTGAGGAATTGGTGATTCTTTCTTCCTTCCTGTTTCCCACTCAGTCTATTGGAGGCTCTTTTTGCACAAAGCATTTAATGGATAATAAAGTAGCCCTACCATGCCTCTCAGTGGTGAAAACAACCCTCAACTACTAGCCAAAAGGTTGGAAGTTCAAACCCACCCAGAGGCAAATCATAAGACAGGCCTGGGGATATGCTTCTGATAGGTCACAGACTTGAAATCCTATGGAGCAGTTCAAATCTGCACATATGGGATTGCCAAAAAAAAAAAAAAAAAAAAACCCAAACTCACTGCTGTGGAGTTGGATTTGACTCACAGTGACCCCTCCTTGGGTTTCTGAGGCAGCATTGCCAATCTTCCTTCCCAGGAGTTGCTGGTGGTTTTGGATGGGGTCGCAGGGAATCAGGAGTCGGAATTGACTCCATGGCAACTAACAACAACATCCTGCCTCTCCCAGTTCCTACTCACCTTCTTTAGGCCTGAGGGATGGAAGAGAGAAAGGAGGGGACAGCTGAGCCCACAGGGGTCTCTCCAGAAGCCTCTGCTGATGATAAGATCCTGGGGCTGGGGGGCGGGGCGCAGGGCTAGGGCTAGAAAGACCTAGTTGTTGTCTGATGATGACAATGATGACAATACTAGGCATAGAGAACTTAACACAAGCCAGTAGTACAAGCCTAAGTGATTTACAAATATTAACTAATTTAATCCTGACAGCAATTCTATGAGATAGGTACAGTTTATTATTATCCCCATTTTACAAAGGACTAAACTGAGGCACAAGGAAGTTAAATAACTTGCCCAATGTCACATATCTAGTTATTAGCAGAGCTCAGATTTGAGCCCAGGCATATGGCCTCCAGGGTCCCTACCATGGCTCTGGTTTTCTCATTCCATTAAATGGACGGTAGTGTTATCTCTGCCTGTAGAAGAACCAGAGAGACCAAAGGATGTCTTGCTGGTACTTTAATTTGACTACAGGTTTATTTTCCTGCTGTCTTCCTGGAATTCAAGTTTCATTTCCCAGGAGCCTCCTGGTCATAGAGAGAAGTTTCCCTTGGTGATCAGAACATAAGAAAGGAAGGGCCTGGGTGATGAGAGCTAGCCTATTCACTTTCCTTCCTTGTTGCAGCGGAGTTCACAGGGCCTCCACAGAAGCCACCACGGCTGGGCGCACAGGTACGTGAAGGGCTTTGCAGAAGCTGGTAACTACTCTGAGTCAGGGCTCCACCAGCCTAGAGGCCATGAGCTGCTCAAACTTAAAAGGACCTCATATATAATCTAGTCCACTGTTTGCATTCTACAGATGAGGCTCAAAGAAGGGAAATGCCTTGCCTAAAGCTTTGGTGATAGAAATAACACTGGAGATCTCATGATAGAATCTTGGAAGACCAATGACTTATTCATTGCAAACACCTTTTTTCAACAACATAAACGATGGCTATACACATGGACTTCACCAGATGGGATACACAGGAATCAGATTGACTGCATCTGTGGCAAGAGGCAATGGAGAAGTTCAATATCTTTAGCCAAAACAAAGCCAGGAGCTGATTGTGAAACAGACCATCAACTCCTCATATGCACGTTCAAGTTGAAGTTGAAGACAATTAAATCCATAAGAGCCAAAATAGGAGATATCACTCCTGGATTTAGAAACCATCTAAACAATAGATTTGATGTATTGAACACCAGTGATCAAAAACCAGAGGAATTGTAGGATGACATCAAGAACATCATCCATGAAGAAAGCAAGAGGTCGTTAAAAAGACAAGAAAGGAATAAAAGACCAAAATGGATGTCAAAAGAAACTCTGAAACTTGCCCTTGAGCAGAAAGTAGCTAAAGCAAATGGAAGAAATGACAAGATAAAAGAGCTGAACAAAAGATTTCAAAGAGCAGCTTGAGAAGACAAAGTCAATTACTATAATGAAATGTGCAAAGACGTGGAGTTAGAAAACTAAAGGAGAAGAACATGCTTGGCATTTCTCAAGCTGAAAGAACTGAAGAAAAAATGTAAGCCTTTACTTGCAATACTGAAATATTCTATGGCAAAATATAAAATGATGCAGGAAACATCAAAGGAAGATGAAGGAATACACAGAGTCACTGTACCAAAGAGAATTGGTCGATGTTCATCCATTTCAGATGGTGGCATATGAACAAGAACCAATAGTATTTCAATTTCAGGAAGAAGTTGAAGGTGCACTGAAGGAATTGGTGAAGAACAAGGCTCCAATAATTGATGGAATACCCACTGAGATGTTTCAACAAACAGATGCCGCACTGGAGACCTTACTCAGCTATGCCAAGTGATTTGGAAGACAGCTACCTGGCCAACTGATTGGAAGAGATCCTTATTTGCACCCATTCCAAAGAAAGGTGATGCCACTGTGGTGGTTATATTTGTGTGTCAACTTGGCTGAGCCTGGTTGAGTGGCTGGGCAGCTGAACATAGTTATTCCTCATGGTGAGATTAGTAATTAACTCCATGGTGGAATCTATTGGAGCAGTTGTAGCTGCTTTGGGTATATGGTCTGCTTTCCATATAGAAGAAACAGCTTTGGGAATGGTCTCTAGCTTATGGCACTCTTGAACCCTGTGTGTGGTGCTGTTGTTGTTCAGCAGCCTGCCATGCTCTGCCGACCTTGGGACTTTCAGTGGACTTGAATTAATGGCCTGCCATGTGGTAAAATCAGGACTGTGCCATTTTACTTGTTGACCTTGGGCTTGTTAGCCTCAGCAGCCAGCAGCTCCTGAGTGAAGAGATGCCTCTAGCTTCAGTAAGCTGGAAGCAAGAGGCTGAGTTGAAGTCCAAGTTTGAAGGGCTTATACACAGCCCCTAGAGCCAGGTACTTTGAACTTGGACTTCTAGCCTCCCAAACTGTAAGAGAATAAACTCCTGTTTGTGAAAGCCATCCCATTTGTTGTATATTCTTGTCAGAGTGGCACTAGGTAACCAAAACAGCCACAGAATGTGGAAATTATCAAACAATATCATTAATATCACATGCAAGTAAGATCTTACTGAAGATAATTCAAAAATGGTTGCAGCAGTATATTGACAGAGAGCTTCCAGAAATGCAAGCTGGATTCAGAAGAGGACGTGGAACATCTGATTGATGTCAGATGGATCTTAGCTGGAAGCCAGGGATGCCAGAAAGATATTTACTTATATTTTATTGACTATGCAAAAGCATTCAATTGTGTAGATCATAATAAATTATGGATAACATTGAGAAGAATGGGAATTCCAGAACACTTGATTGTACTCATGAGGAATGTGTACATAGATCAGGAGGCTGTCGCTCAAACAGAACAAGGTGATACGGTGTGGTTTAAAATCAAGAAGGGAGTGTTCCAGGGTTGTATCCTTTCACCATAATTACTCAACTTGTATGCTGAGCAAATAATCCAAGGACCTGGATTATATAAAGAACAATGTGACATCAGGATTGGAGAAAGACTCATTAACAACCTGTGATATGCAGATGACACAACTTTGCTTGCTGAAAATAAGGATGACTTGAAACACTTACTGATGAAGATTGAAGACTACAGTCTGCAGTATCAATTACATGTAAATATAAAGAAAACAAAAATCCTCACAACTGGACTGATAAACAACTTCACGATGGATGGAGAAAAGATTGAAGTTGTCAAGGACTTCGTATTACTTGGATCTACAATCAGCACTGATGGAAGAAGTAGTCAAGGCATCAGATGATGTATTGCATTGGACAAATCTGCTGCAAAAGACTTCTTTCAAGTGATGAAGAGCAAAGATGTCTCCTTGAAGACTAAGATGCACCTAACTCAAGCCATGGTATTTTCAATCGCCTCTTATGCGTGTGAGAGCTGGACAATGACTAAGGAAGATGGAAGAAGAGTTGATGCTTTTGAGTTGTGGTGCTGGAGAAGAATGCTAAGACTACCATGGACTGCTAAAAGGACTAACAGATCTGTCCTGGAAGAAGTGCAGCAGAATGCTCCTTGGAAGCGAGAATGGCCAGACTTCGTCTCACCTACTTTGGTCATGTTGTCATAATGGACCATTCCTTGGAGAAGGATATTATGCTTGGTAAAGTGGAGGGTCAATGAAAAAGGGGAAGGCCCTCAGCAAGATGGATTGACACAGTGGCTGCAACAATGGGCTCAGATATAGCAAGGATCATGAGGCTGGCACGGGACTGGGCAGTGTTTCATTCTGCTGTGCATAGGGTTTCTATGAGTCAGAGATGACTCAATGGCACCTAACAACAACAACAACAACAAGGCCATATAGCAAATTCAAGAAAAAGAGAGAAGAACCATGCCTCCTCACAAACCTAAAGGAAAACTCATTGGTCAAGCCCTATGGACCCAAAATATAGGCCTCTTTTCTCTCTTAGAGCCTTCCCTGTTGGCTTTCAGCTCCCCATAGTCCTTATAGTAGCCTGGGGTGCCAGTTTTTTTCTCTTTCAAACAGTGATTCTCAACCTTGGCTGCCTGTTAGAATCATTTGAGAAGCTCTGAAAACTACCTGGGCCCCATGCCTAGGAAATGACTCAGTTGGTCTGTTGTGAAGTGTTTTGAAGCTCCCAGCCTCAGAAATCAGGGCTGAGACCACTACCCTGGAAACAGAAAGGAGGGAGGAGGCATGCATCCCCAGGACAGGGCACTATTATTCCAGACAAGAGGCTTTTGAAATTGGGTTGGTGGCTGAGCGGGCACTTATAGTGCCTGCCCAGGGAAGAATCATAGCATCTCCTGACTCATCCCTCTGCCATCTGCTTCTTTCCCCTCAGTCTATCCAGCCCACAGCTAACCTGGACAGGACTGATGACCTGGTGTACTTCAATGTCATGGAGCTGGTGCGGGCTGTGCTGAACCTTAAGAATGAGCTCTGTCAGCTGCCTCCTGAGGGCTATGTGGTTGTGGTGAAGGCAAGAGCTGGAGGCCTGAAGTGGGGACAGGGGAGGTGGAGGCTGCCCTTCCTAACCCTAGAAGGAGGGGTGAGGGCTGAGCTTCCTTGTCTGCAACCCCAGCAGGTGCCTTTCCCAGGAAGATCCTCATTAGAGCAAGGTGGTCAAAGGGAATTTAGTTCCAGGTAGCCTCTGAAGACAGGGACCATTCCAAGGGAAACATAGTTTTATCAAAACACAGGTGACAGTCTCCCTGCTCCTTCTGTCTCCCCAGAATGTGGGGCTCACACTGCGGAAGCTCATTGGGAGTGTGGATGATCTCCTGCCTTCCTTGCCTTCATCTTCACGAACGGAGGTAAGTGTCCTTGTCCCAGATGGTGTCTTAAATAAGCCTCCATTTCTCCCCTCACCTGCACCTGTCCCTGGCTCACAGGGCCATTCTGGGCAGCCTCATTTCTGCCTGCTGAGCCCCCTCAGGCAGCTCTGCACATGTTTGATCAGTGACCACCAGAGAGCTGAGAGGGCAGCTAAAGGCCTGGGTAGTTTCCTGGGTGAATTTCCTGTTCAGGTGTCAAGACAACTGCACTGAGTTTTGTTTTGTTTTTAATATTTTGTGTTCCTATTTAACAACTTCTATACAATGACATTGGTTACATTTTCCACATTGTGCCAGTCTTCTCCATATTTCCATTCTGGTTCTGCATCCATGAATCCAGCTTCCCTGCCCCCTCTGCCCTTCTCATGTGTGCTTTAGGGTAAATGTTGACCATTTGATCTCATAGAGGTTTTTTTGTTTTTGTTTTTGTTTTTTTAATAAGGAACACAGTACTCGTGTGTGATATTGTTAATTTTTTGAGTCAATCTGTTATTTAGCTGAAAGGTGACCTCAGGAGTAGTTTCAGTTCAAAGTCTAAAGGGATGTCAGGGCTAAAGTCTCAGGGGAACCTCTAGCCAGTACAAGTACAGTAAGTCTGGCCTTTTAAAAAAGAAGAAGAATAAGAAGAATTAAGAGTTTTGTTCTACAATTTTCTCCCTTTCTATCTGGGACCATCTATTGTGTCCCTGGTCAGAACAGTCAGTAGTGGTAACTGTACCCCATCTAGTTCTGCTTTCTGGATAGATGGGGCCATGGTCCATTACAATGAGTTTGTATTGAGTGAGGATATGGCGAGGAGGACACACCTTCCTCTTATTCTCCCTTTTTATCTTTTACATAGTCACCTTCTGTACTAGAGGTTAAAGTGACTATGTAATTGAAATAGACCTTCCAGTTTCTATATTGATCATTTAATCCAATTTTCCTTACTGAAATGAGAAACAAACACACTGTCACCCAAAACCAAAATGGGAAACATCCCTAATAAGTTAGTGCTCAATATGGAGATTGTGCCTTGCTGGGCAGAATAATGGCCCCCAAAGATATCCATCTTCTAATCCCCAGAATCTGTGCATATGTTACCTTACATGGCAGAAGGGACTTTGCAGATGTGATTAAGTTAAGGACCTTGAGATGAGAGGTTATCCTGGACTATCTGGGTGGGCCCAGTGTCATCAGAACAATCCTTGTTAGGGGCAGTCAGAAGGGTCAGAGTCAGAGAAGGTCATGTAAAGACAGAGCAGAGGTCCAAGTGATGCCATTGCTGAAAGGGAGCCATGAGCTAAGGAATGCAGGTGGCCTCTAGACACTGGACAAGGCAAGGAACAGACTCTCTCCTAGAGCCTCCAGAAGGAACATAGCCTCGACTTTAGCCTTACTCACTCACTGCCATTGAGTCAATTCCAACTCAGAGAAACACCCTCTGGGTTTGCAAGGCTGTAAATCTTTATGGAAGCAGACTGCCTCAGTTTCTGTGGAGCAGCGAGTGGGTTCAAACCACTGACCTTCTGGATAGCAGCCAAATACCTTAAACACCAGAGCTGCAGAGCTGACTTGAGCCTAATGAGACTTATTTCCTACTACTGACCTCCAGAACTATAAGTTAATAAATCTTGGTTAGTTTAAGCCACTAATTCTATGGTAATGTGTTACAGCAACCACAGGAAACTGACAGGGTGCCACTGTCGATTCATTGGTTGTCTGTGTTTTAATGTTGAAGTGCCTGAAAACCAGGAATAGTCTCCCAAGAAAGCCCTTTCACACCCCACCTGGCTGCACTTTCATCCACCCACTCACCAGCAGTCAGTGATGGAGCACAGGCATCCACCACCCCCAGCCACACCCCTACTGTCTGTGGCTGCTAGAGACTGAATGAGAAGGATTTGGGCCCATTTCCCGGCCTCCCTCATGGTGGCAGCAGCGGCCCACAGAGGAGCCCTGTCTGTTGTGAGAGCTTGTTACCCTTGAAATGATCATCCATTCATTCATGAATGAGTGATTCATTCATTTAATTTGATAAATACCCCCTGCTAGGTGCTCAATAGTGTGTTAGATTCTGGGGATAGGGCAGTAAACAAAACAGACACGCTTGGAGTTGACAGTAGACAGCTAAACACATGCATACATATACTTGACCCTTGCCCATGCACTCAAATGTTGGGCCAGCAAGTGGGGAGATTTCAGTGAAAGGAGGGCTGGTCCAGCTGGATCAGGCTGGGGTGGTAGCAAGGTGGGGTCCAGGCCAGGCTTTGTTGTCAGTCCTTGCTGTCCTGGGTTCCAGCCTGCATGAGGCCTGAATTCCAGCACAGGGAACTTCTGACCACCTTGGAAAAAGCCTGAGACTGGCTGAGAGTGACACATGTTGTTACCCTCTTCTGGACACTAGGCTTTGCAGCCTTCTTAGTTCCTAGCCACCCCCACCTGCTCTCCTTACAGATTGAGGGGACCCAGAAACTGCTGAACAAGGACCTGGCAGAGCTCATCAACAAGATGCGGCTGGCCCAGCAGAATGCTGTGACCTCCCTGAGTGAGGAGTGCAAGAGGCAGATGCTCACAGCTTCCCACACCTTGGCTGTGGATGCCAAGAACCTGCTCGATGCTGTGGACCAAGCCAAGGTTCTGGCCAACCTGGCCCGCCCACCTGTGGAGTGATGGAGGACGTCACCTTGCCTGTGTCATCTGCCCCTCCTGGTGTCGTGTACCCCCCCATCCCCCTGGCCTTTGCCTTGCTTTTGGTCATGTGGGTCTCCTCAGGGGGAAGGCCTAGGGGAGTCCTTCCCTTGCCACTTTGCACGACCCCCACTCCCCACCCTTTCCCCCACTCGGGCTGCAGCTGGACACAGGGGACCCTGGGCTGTGGATGCCAGGGGATGGCAGAGGGTTCAGAGGAAGAGCTGTGGCTGCCCAGCCTCTCCTTCCTCACACCTGCCTGGCCTGGAGTGTGAGCACCTCATCAAATGTCATCGTGGAGCCAGGAGCAGCTGCAGTGGCTTTATGCATGGACATGGCAGGCAGATTTGAGAATCAAGCTATTCTTTCTCCTTCCTCTTTGGCCTTCAGAGGTCCCTTGCTGCTCAGGGGGGCTGTGGAGGGGCTTTTTTAGGAGGCAGTGGCTGGTGAGGCAAGGGATGGACCTGGCCTTTGTGTACAGTGTACATTGGAATTTATTTAATGTGAGTCTGGTCTGGACTGACAGCTGTGTGTCCTCCTGAGGGGGGACCTGGGAGATGGTCCAAGAACAAGCTATTTGGGAGCTGGGCACAGGATGCTGTGTTATGTCAACAAACCAAGTTTTGGGAAGACTAGGAAGAGACAGACACCAAAACAGAACTTTGGGCCATGATCTGCCTCTCTTCCTCTCTCCCTCTTTTCTCTTTCTTCCTTTACTTTCTCCACCTCCTCTCCCTTCTTCTTCCCTCTTTTCTTACTCGTTTTCCTTTTTTCTCCACTTTTCTCACCCATTCTCTTCCTTTCTCTCGTGTTTATGTAGAACACTCTTTTACCTCCTTTCTATTTGACTTGTGGTTGAATTAAAATTGTACAATTTGCTTTGTGGTTTGATTGATTTTTGTTGTTTGTTGGAGCCACGCTTTGGAGAAGAATGTTGACCTTGAACCATGACCTTGCATAAATCAATTGTGCCCCATGTTGGGTACATGTCAAGGGTGGATGTTGGGCCTCATCCAAGTAGGCAGACAGTGGAATATGGTGATGCTGGGGTAGTGGAGTCAGGGCCAGTTTGCTTGAGCCCTTTTCCTCTGCATGATGGTGAGGAGCGGGGGCGCTTAACCAAAGGGCCACTTTCCAGGGGGATCCATGACAGTTCCCACCACAGCCACATGAGGGATGCCAATGGCACTCCCAGTGGATACCAAAGTGATCAGATTTTGGAGGTACTTGAGAGGGGCTCATGGTGCTGAGGGCATGGCTGGAGAAGAGGAACACAGTTAAATGAGATTAATTTAATTTAATTTAATCTTTTTATTTACATGCAAGAGGGATGGGGAACATGAATAACATTAGTGAACACCACCACACCAGGAGATGAAGGGTAAGACTGGACCAGAGAGCCCAGTGATCTCTGTAAGTGAGAAGGGAGAAGCTGAAAGGCTGCATTCACATGAGTAGGGAGGAGGGAGGAACCAAAATGGGCCACTGAAGTCTAGGGTAGGGGAGTGGGGAAGGGGGTGAGAGGTGGGTCTTGGGCTGGGGTGTCAGGGTCAGGCTGGTCTCCGCTGGTACTGACAGGTACCTTCCAAGGAGAGGTGCATGGGGATTTGGAAGGAGGGGATCCCAAAGACTAGAGGATATGGAAATGGGCTCTGGTTTCCTGCTGAGTTCTCCAAACTGTCTTCAGGGCATTACCCTGGGGCCAGATGCCTTCTGAAGAACTTGGCATCAGTCGGCTGCTCAGCTCTGTCCTGGCAGCCACACTCAGCCAAAGGCCTTGATTGTTCCATTACAAAATGGAGACCAAGTTCCACAGAGAAGTTTTGAGTGGGTCAGAACGAGGATGGGGGGGTGGGTGGCTTTAAGAAGGAGAAGGAAGGCAGGCTGAGAAGGCAAACAGCCCTGCAGTTTTTATGTTCACGCAGCCATCTCAGTGTCTAAAAGCAATCTAGCTCATGCCCCTCAGAATAAATGTCCTGAGTGCCAGCTACCACTCACCCAGGGGGCTGGCTAGCTGCTACTGAGGATGCCCCAAAATGGGGGGGGTGGCATAGCCCCTGACCTCAAGGAGTACACAACCACAGGGCTTAGGGCCCTGTGGAGGGAGGAGCTAACAAGTACTGAATTTGAGTTGAGTCTTGAATGGCAGCCAACGTTGCAGCAGAGAAAGGGAGGGTAGAGGGAGGAGAAGCCTGGGGGCTGATTCCAGGGTGAATGGAATGGTCCAGCTACCTGCATCCAACTATCCATTGCTAGGTCCAGGAGGATCTGCTCTGCACCTCCAGTCCACATACCTACCTCCACCTCCCACGAGTGCCCTGCCTCACCACCTTCCCATTCCTGAAGAACCCTTATCACTCTACTGTTATACTACACAGCTCTAAACCCACCAGACATGGGATTAACTCAACTTCTTTCTCAGCCTGGTTTACAGCCACTCTGACCAGCCTCTCTAACCTTCCCTCCCACTGCTTCCCACACTAGAGTCCCACTTCAGCCTGATGCCTCAGTCTAACACTTTGTTCATAGTAGTTCCATCCCAACCCCCAGACACCTTCCCCTCTTCCCAATATGGTTCACATTCTTCTTCTCTTCCCCTACTCCCATTCCCCCTCGCCTGCTTCTCCCTGCTTGGCTCTCCCATTACTTAGTGTCTTATAATGCCTCACATCTTCACCACCATTTTCTAAGCTTCTGGAGAGCAAGTACTATCACCTTTTCTAGCTAGTCTGCATTCAAAACAAAGGGTTCTCAGTGGAGTCTTAGCTTTGACTCCAATAATGTCAAGATCAATTGTTGTAAGTCTTCAATGATTGGGCCAGTCCAGAGACTTCAGGGAGAGGCACCTGCAGTCAGATGGTGCTAACCCCAAAGGCTTACTCTGGAGGCAGAAGCAGTTCAAGATGATCAGTCGTGCTCCCATTTGAGGCAATGCAAGGGATGTGGAATCAGATCATTCCAGCCAAGAATGGAGGAAGAAAGAGTCCGATGGTTCCCAGGACGCAAACGATGATAAACAACCAAAGGAATATCCTATCGATTACCATGGCAACATACTTCCAGTCTTCCTTTACCTGGAGGCAGAAATGGGTGCACAGTGACAGAGCCCAGGCCTTGGAGAAAGGGGATGTGTCCTGTCCATGCACACCTCTTGTGAGGATCACCACTGGGGGACAACTGCCTCACCAAGACATTGGGAAGCTAAAAACCAGCTCAGGGAAAGGGGTGGGTGGGGAGTAGAAATACAGTTGTCTCAAGACTCAAACAATCTTCTCCTAATGACTTCTGACATATCCCACTCACCACAAGGTCCAGAACCTTTTCATAGGCTCCTCAGGTTCCAGGTTAAGGATGGCTAGGTATCTAGGTAAAGGTTGGAGAGCCACTTAGAGGCATGAACCCTCCCAAACAGGCCATCAGTGATTTAAATGCAATGACCAGCAGTTTTATAGAATGATGAAGACTTTTCTGTCCCATGTTGTCTCCCCATGCACTCAACAACCTACCTGCAGGAAATTGAGAGAGGGAGAAAAAAGTAGGTGCAACCCAGGGAAGATTTAGAAGGTTTTTATGGTTCATGGCCTAGGCAAGGAGGTCTGGTTTCCTAGCCATTCCCAGATTAGATAATAATTAATTTTTCTTATTGACTAAACAAGGCCACCCAGAACTAACCTTCTGGTCTTTCATGCTTCCCTAAGTTAATCAGTTGATACGCTGATAAGAAAAATTCTGTGATCCTAGGCAGTACACTGCTCTCCATGTGGGACATGGTGGGGGTGGGGCTGGGAGTCCATCTTATACAGCCAAGATTCATCAGGGTTTGGGTGAATACTGAAGTTCACAAAATTCCCAGAGCCCAAAGAAACAAGGGACACCATGAAAAAAACACGTCACAAAATGACAGCAACAAATTCAAACTTATCAATAATTACCCTGAAAGTTAATGGATTAAATGCACCACTCAAGAGATGGAGAATTGCAGATTGGATAAGAAAACAAAACCCATCAATATGCTGCCTACAAGAGACACACCTGAGAGATAAAGACAAAAATAGACTAAAAATCAAA